AATAGCATTGCTCCTCAAATGAGGGGCAGCAGAGGGGGGAAGCCCCAGATGAGACAAGCACAGTGTAGGAACGTAGTATCCAGAGTTATGACCAAGGCGAAGAGTTTATTTTATAAGTCAGGACCGAGATGCAGCAGCATTTAGTGCTGAGCCTTTCTTCAGCAGAGATCACCAATCACATTCACTCATTGTCTGGTGGTGATTTGGAGATGTCAAAGAATCATTTCAGCCTGGTTAAAACCTGGACTTTTCTGCGGGCTGCGCGCTGAAACAAAGTTGAGCCCAGAAGAGGCAGCACCCTATGCTACATGACCAGAGACAAAAGAGTTCACATTGCAAACCATAAGAGGTCATTCTTTTTCAATTACATTTGACAGATCTAAGTTATTATAAGAGGAATAACTTGGGAAAAGGAGAGCGCAACAACAATGAAGCAAACAGGAAAACAGAACATAACTAGAGAAACAGAAGAATCTCATTAGATCTTTTTCCTACTCAGCGAAGAGAGGAGAAAGCAGTCTCTCTTCTCCTCTCCATCTTTGTACGTCCCCTTATTCTTCCAGTTGAGCAGCTCTGATTTAAATTTAGGGCTCCCATTCTTTCCGATTAGATGGCTTTTCTGTAAAGCTACTTACCAAGTCGATACTGTGCTCCTGTTGAAAGGATTTCCCTGCTCTCCAGAAAAGTAATGGATTTCTCACATGTCACAGTTTCTTAAGGCCCCGTCTCCACAGTCCTTCAGCAATGTCCTTAGCAGCACGGATGCATTTAGTAGTTCCATTAAAGCAGTGGCTCTGACCACTGAAAGAAAGGTATTTTGCCTAACCATGAACTCTGTTCAGCAGTCATGACTGATTTGCAGCAGTGCAAGGCTCCCATGAATTTCTGTTCAGTGGTGGCTTTATTTTACTCACTGTCCTATGAATACGCACTGGGGAGTAGGTCACCCACAAAGAACCATCAGCCCCTTGCCAACAGACTGGGAAGTAACAGGTTTTGTGGCCTTTAGACTATGGAGGATTCTCAGGGCTACCGCCACTGCTGAGGTTTGTATCACAAGGCTGAAGTTGCTTTGTTGCCGTGCCAATTAAGTCTCATCTTACTCATTTCTGTGCAGCCATTTCTGTGAGTCCAGTCCTGTGGAGCAGCCATGCTTTTTACAAGTTTTGTATGTTCATTTGGGCAAACAGTTTTACTAGAACTACATTCTCCATATGAAGTCTAATAGTTACAGCAGAATTTGCTTCTGCTTTTTTGTGCTGTCTTTAACACTTTGTCAGTTCTCCCAGTGAAGCAATCATGTTGAAAATAAGAGTTGCTTCTTCCAATTCTGGCATTTGCACATTTTTATGAGGTGCTAGAAAAGCACAATTGGATTTTTTTTTTCCTGAAAATGTGGAGATGATAATAAGTAACACATTCACTGAGTTCTGATGTGCCATAGAACAAGGTGTTTGACGTATACTGTATCTCTCAAATATATTACACACACTAATGCTTATCTTACCAAAAGCTTAAAATTTTTACATTCTCCTCTCCCCATCAATACGCAACCAGGTGTCCAGACTTTTCTGACCACCAGTTTTGTTTTTGGACAGTGTGCCCTTTTCAGTGGCATGCAGAGAAAGCAGAGTCTATGAACTTTGTGGGTCAGCTAGATGATATAGGTCCTGACATGCAGAGGAAGTGTCAAGATACTGTGAATACGGAAAATAAATGGAAGACAACATGCAGTTCAAGTACTTTCCATTCTTAACCAGGAGAGCAATCTCACTAACACCAACTAGTTGGAAATTCTCACTCAGTGATCTCAGATAAGCTCCAGCTTTTCAATGATTGTAGTCTCATCTCAACTCATAGAGTCAAGGAGCAGCACTGGTGAGGGGATAATGTTCCTTTAGTCTCCTGTTCAATTACTAGGCTTGTTGCTGGTCCACCTCTGCTGCTCCCCCCTTGGAAAGTCTTGGTTTCCAGCATGGCTATGCCATTTCTACCCCAGAGGTGAAACCAAGAAGGATTTTCATTGTAAAAGCCCTCTCCTGTACCACAGTTCGAGGCTCCAGCAAAATAAAATAGCATTCTAGGCTTGAGTTTGAAGCAAGTTCTTACATCATCAGTTAATTCCTTTCACTATTATTGCCTCAGAATTGGCTCTAATCATGAACACTTCATTGTTTATAGAAATTTCAAAAGGGGGGGGAAGGGGGCGCCATTTAAAATTACTTGAACAATTACTGCAAAACAACTTGAAAATCATTCCACATGTTTGGAAGATCCGCCTAGTTCAAGAGATGTTCCCTTGCTTTAACGTGAAGCATGCCTGCTGGAGTCTTCCAGGGTGCGTTTTACATATCCAGTGCATATCCAGTGGCATGAGGATATAGGAATACTGTAGGGCTGTTCACTGAGTGCTCACTAGCTGCTCATTTTATCCTGATGTTTTAGCATTATCAAAAACTGCAGACCAAGCTTATGCAGAACATAAATTTAAGTGCAGTTCAAACCAAAAATAGTATCTGATTACGAGCACATGAGATTCAACCCACTGTGATAACTGAGTCGAATGAGTGAATGAGGACAGAAAACTGAGATTACATTCAAAATGAACTTTACCTGGAAGATCAATGGCAGAACTTTCCTATGCAGATTTACAGTCCACCCTGGCTTAATGAACCTCTGGCTTAACCTCTAAGCTCAGAGGGTTTCATAGCGAGAGGAATTTGGCTGTAAGAGTCATGCATGCTTTCCAGGCATTACAAGATTGAAGCTGCAGTCTTTTAAACCTAGAACAGAAAGAGAAAATCCCACAAGGAATCAGATAATGAAACAAGACTTAAGAATAATGCTCCATGACCACTGGACAGCGATTGATATGCTAGGCAACAGTACACATGAAAGGAGGAAGTCCAGAAAGAAATAACGAATGTCCCTAAAAAATTAGCATGACTGAAGCGTGTGGTAGCTGTCTGCTTGCAGGTCACTGATGACCATGGGAACTGACATTTGCCATTGCCCTCAACTAAAAGCCCTCCTCCCTGGACAGCTGACTAGTTAGTAAATGGAATGACACTTTTTACACAACTTGGGGGGGAAAGCTTGACATTACCTTCTATTCACCTCAGATTATCTTTCAACATAAGCAATTGCTGCAGCAGCTACAAAAAGGTGAGATGCACCATATCATCCCAACAGCTGCACTAACTGTGAGCAGAAGAAACACACACAGCAAATACAGATTATAAACAAACTGGAACCCACTTCCAACTCTGAGACTTCAGTGGCAAGTTTCCACAGCATTCAGACATACACTCAGCATATGTTTCCAAAGGGCAAATATTTCTATCTCCTAGAATCATAATTTTAAAATAAAAGCTAATACAAATACCAGTCTACCACTAATGAATTCTGAAACTTGGCATTGATATGGCATTGAGGTGGTCTTCCAACTTTCGTGCCTGCCAGCTAACATTAATAATAAAGTAGCCACAGCCTTAATACCAGATTGAGAGTTTTGTTGCTGCAAGCCAGACTTGTAGCAATATTTAAAATATTGTTGCATTTAATCCAGAAACAAACTATTTTTCTGGCTGTTCATAAAAATGAAATAGAGCCTAGCATTAAATTAGATGATCTAGTTTCTTTGGAGCCCAAAGCCCGTTCTTGCTAGTTTTGAAAAAAAACCACACCCACAGTGGCATCCAGGCTCATGCAGGCTGCTTTCTGGGAGTGCAATGACCAAAACATTGCATCTGTTTGCATATGGAAGTCACACTTGTTGAACATGCAAGTCAGAGTGCCTACAATAACAGACAAACATTTGTTTATTCTTTTGTAATTGGTATTACATTAATACTAGAGTTGGGGATCCAAACCATAGACACAGTACTATAGAAACAACAGATCCTCTGTTCCACGGATCTCCACTTAAGAGTTTACTGCTTAACAGTAGACTAGGAAAGTCCCTAAAGGTACTGCTTGTTTTCAAAAACATGTTCATAATTTTTATGAATCATGCTGACCTTTCCGAGTTTTCTTCTTCTCAAGGGAAATTTCATTTCATTTAGAGGAAATGTTACCCTTTTATTTGAAAGTAGCAAAAGCATTTTTCTGAAATGTCAGAATTTTCTTTGGAACAGAAAATCTTACTGATATAGTCAAAAACCAGAAAAATCAAACCGATAGTCCAAAAATCTACAAAAGTGAAAGAAGTGAAAGATTCTTACCAATGTAAATGGACTTTGAACTGTAATTATTTGTAGCTTTTAATCTCTCCCTAAAAGGTCTGGAAACAGTGCTATCCACGTGATCCACATTAACTTACCACAAAGGCATTCATTACCTCCTCCCTAACTTCCATCACCACCCAACTGTGCAAGTCCATTGCAATTTTAGAGGGTGGAGATCCTCCCACAAAAATACATCTGGAATTTGTAGATCAAAACTGGATTTGAACTGAACGATTAGGAAAAAAAAAAAAAAGTTGGGTACTGAAACCAGAGTTATAAACTAGCACTTCAAACCAAGACTCTAGGCTATGAGGGGGCACACAATCCCATGCTTCAGGTGCCACTTTAGTTACCAGGGCAGTAACCTCTGGAAGAGAGACAAGGCAGGCAGCCAAGAGTGAAAAACTCACATTTTACAAGATTAAGCAGAGCTTG